CATGGCGAGCGAAAGAGAAAGAAATACAGAGAGAGAGGCGGAAAGAGCATCGCACTTTTGGTCCCAAACATAAAACGCATTGGTATCGTCGTTGCAAAAACATTCGACGATGTACTTTGTATACTGTGCAAGTGCAATTCTCTGTGTACCATGGCATACACTCCCCTACGAAACAAAACGATATATCATTCCCTGTGTGTGTGTGTCTGTTGTTTTTTTCAAATGTGTGTGTAAGTCAGTGTGCGTGGAACGTGCTGTTAGCCGAGAATGTAAATGTTGGTCTCTCGCACGTACCAAACTCATTCGAAATCCATATAATTTGCCATTGTTTGTTGTTCGGCTGTTATTTTGTTGAAATGCTTGATGGTCAGTAATTTAATGAAAAGTTTTGTAATTGTAGTCGGTGGTGTTTTCAGTTGGGATAATACCATGGTTTGCATAAAGCTGCGATGCCATTCGCATCTCTCACTCTTTTTGCATAACTGTATGTGTATGTGTGTGATGGTATAATGATGATGATGATGTGATGCAGACGAAACGGGAAAGACAAAAGCATTGTGTCTACAGATATAAATCCGAGTGGATGAAATTAGATCTCTTTTACGTCATTATTGCTGAAATGGATTTTTGGTGAAATTCTTGGTATTTCAATTTTCAAACAAACAAATTCACATTTTACTGAGTGCCATTGCACTCGACCATCTAAACATTGATTTGATGAACGCACACACACACACCATACGATGCCATTCGGCAGCAACAGCAACTTTGATATAGTAACAGCCAAAGTAACAATGACAGAGTGCCGACTCTATTTGGCGATGCGTCATTAATGAATTCATGAAGTTTTGCCGTTCGGCATTCGATTTATAGCTAATTTTCGTAAGCAAACCAAAGGAATATGCCGACCACTTTTAAAGGAATATTGAAATACCTTCTAGCACGAACTTACCGCAATTTCTTTGATCAAATTTAGCGGAGTAATGTTTCAATTGTTTTCATTGGTGTTTCGCTGTCGTTATCATTGTCGAATGCAAATACACACACACATTTCGATAAAGCCATTCCATTTGGTTGAAATTGTATTTGAAAATTGCCAAGTGAATAAATGTTGATTAACATCATTACAGCTATTAGCATCTATATAGTGGCTACAATACCGTAAGTCATCATGAAGTCAACACAACTAGAGGTTCCGATAGAAACAATTGGTAGAAAGAGCTTTAGACGAAAGTTGGTATATTGCGAGGGAAAGAGAAAGACGGAGAGGTAGATAGAGAGAGTTGAATAAGGCGATGGGCGTCGTAGTAACGACTGCTGAGACCATAATTAAGTGTTCTATTAGAGTCTGTTTGATCGGAAATCCGAGACGGATACCAAATGCTTGTGTCACGTAAAATTTTAATTAATGCTCACGGGCGTGAGCCAAATCCACGGCGGAAAGAGTAACTGTACGGCAAACATTGGCCCATCAATGGATCTCGCTGTTAAGCCGATGCGCCATCATTTGCACAGCGATCTGATTTCATTTATTTTGAAACGCATTAAAGTTACCAAAAACAAACTTCAATTTAAACAAAAATTTGTAAACCCCTTTTTCGTGCTCAACCAAAAAAAAAAAAAACAAAAATTCCCACTTTCAATGAATTTTTAATGCAAATCGAATTTAATGGATTCACTGGTGAAAGTGCTCATTGGAAATGAAACCGGATATCGATTGATAAATTAGTCTTTTCGAAAATTGTGGCACTCGTATCGAATTTCTCTGCGTTTAAAATATTAATGGATCAAGTGAAAGAGTAAAATTTAGAATAATAATATAATTTTCCAGCCTGCAGCTAACTAAAATGTGAAAACGTTTATTGAAATTCGAACCAATTAATCATTCATTTTTCTTCAAAAACTAGTTATTTAATAAACATTTTAAACAAAAAAAGACATTGTCTGAGTCTCAGACTCTAAGATCGTGGAGAAGAAACCGCATTTTCTCCCCGATTAACAAAAAGATTGAACTATGGTCGGGTCGAGGTTAAAGTACAACATAAAATTGCTGGTCGATAAATCTCTATCAAGTCAATAAATGAGCGAATGAGTATGATATTATTGCATGTTCTTAAAACATTATTAATAATCGCCATAATTGAATGCGGTCGGATAGGGTGCGCGTCATTTTGTGAAATGGTTCTTAACACTTGCACACTAACCATCTTTGCCATATATTGCAGTCGAAGAATGAGGCTCATAGATAAATGACATCGTTTTATATTATTTCTTCGCGTCATTTTTTTCATTATTTATAAACTTTGCCATAAATTATGACATTATATGCGAATGAATTTCCTTTATACTTGTAGCATTGCCCCATTGACTTGGTACTTCAAATTACGTATTGGTGCTAGACATTGCATTTTAATGGAGAGAAGAGGAGAAAAAGAAGAGAAAAAAGAAACAACACAAAGAGAGAGAGAGAGAGAGAGAGAGAGATAGAGAAAAAAACGGCCAAATTGCCAAGGAAAGAAGTTGAACGAAATGGAAAATATGAGCATAAATGAAATGTGTTCGAGAGAGATTACAAAGAAAATTACAGCAGCTCGTTCCCATTAAGTATTTGCGTAACGGAAAATGCAAGCAATTGAACAAGCAGCAACACGCTTTTTCACGTTAACATTCATAGTCATTCATTCGGTTTCGTACATACGTTAAGTACCCGACGACTCATATTTTGTGATTGTCGCAAAAATGCGACGCGGCCACATATAACGCATCCATAAAACGACGACCAAAATTAGACAAATAGTAATAATAGTAAGCGCATAATTTATGATGTCATTTATTTTCGTGGTATTTTAATTTCGTTGATGAAATGGACGTCGTTTGATAGCACGTTCGTCCGATAAAAAAAACCATCACAAACCATCAAATTGGATGGGTGAGGGAGCAAATCAGTGCAAACACTCTGCATCATTTTACAAATGTTATCGTGATCGTAAATTTGGCGACAATAAAGCAAAATTAAAAAATACCACAAGTAGTTGCCATAAAAATGCGCTTCAAACACACTCAATACACACACACACACACACACACACACACACACACACCCCACAGTATCGCGCGCATTTACGATGGCATAGCCAAAGTCTCACTGGATTGATTTTCGAATTTCCAATAGTTTTCAATTTAACACCGCCAAAAAATCAAGCGGCATTCTTGAGATAGTTTCAACTTTAACACAAAATTGTGAAGTTGAACGAACGCGACATCGACCTCAGCGATTTTCACATTAGTTTCGGTCGCACCCCGAAAATGAAATTGATGTGGTGAAACCAATGAGCTGAGAAATAACTTAATTTTCATTACACTAGGAAAAAAACGACTTGGTTGAACTGATAATGGCCAAACCTTTAAGTGGCCCAACATATACACATAGTTTCTTGATGGCGAACACATTGCTCGCATTAAATGGGAAAACTTTTGCCGATAATTTTATTTTCACAATTTTTTTTTTGTTTGTGTGTTGTGTGGAAAAGCAGCCGAAGTAAGACCCAATGTATAAATCTAAGGGTGTAGTGGAAGCTGCTTCTACTCTATGACAGCCTATTGAACGAAAAATCACTCACAAAACAAGTTATTCGGTTTAAAACTTAAGTAGAATAAAAGACTTTGCAATCATCGACCGAGAGCCGATGTCAATGCGGTAAAAATCCAAAGCAGATGTTTTTGTTTGCATCAATTCGATAATATACTGAAAGATTTGGGACAGGCATACAACAAAAACTCTCAAACAGGTTAAGGAAAACTTTTCATACAAACATCGGCATCATTCAAAAAAACTACCCCGAAAATTCCAAATCGACTCGCTCGACTTACGTCCATTGAAAATATGGTAAAAGTTTCTCCCATAACATTCACTCTTAAATTGAGAATTATAGTGTCGAAGACTTACAATCACATTCTATTTATTTGTTATTATTTCTTCGGATTTCTTTCGGTAAAACATACTGCATTGCTGCTATCGGTGAGTGATTTTAACGTGGCGCATTACTTATTGATAGAAAATGCATGGAACTATACGAGTCTGAGTATTCATAAGTAGAAAAGTCTTCAGTTGGTGAGATTATTTTTTTCATTTTCTTATCAAACTAGACGCATTTTTTGCTACGGAATTCGCATCGCAATTTTAAGCGATTCGAATTGCTAATCAAAAATTTACGAAAATTCCCACACATGTTCATCGTCTTAACATCCCAAAATCATATAAATTATTCATATTCATACATATGTAAGCTGAAAACTTTCATTGAATTTCAATTTTTACCTTTTAGTGACTGAATTCGAAGAAAATAAACCGAAAATGGAAGATTTGAAAACAAAAATATCGTATTCACCCATAATAAGCTTAATGGTTTATGATGTCGACGATTTCATGTCATCAAATTGTCAAATTCAGCAGCAAAACTAAACATCAGAAATTCTAACGAAAACGATTTATGTTACCTGAATACCTTACAATGGAAGTTTTTTTCTCAGTGAAATCATTTTTATAGAGAATGCATTTTTTTATGTCTCAAACAATGCAAAACATAGAATATACAGTCAAAACACGATGTATTCGCACATTTAGTATGACATCGTGCAAGAGAGTTTGAAGTAGTTTTTTCATACATGTATGCGAAATATGGATGTGTATGAATGGAAACTTAACTTAACTTTTCATCTTTTTGATGAACGAATTTCCATTAGTGCGAGCAGGATGAATTCTACAAATGTTGCCGTTGTTCAACAATTGTCCGAAATATTTTTTTTTTTACATTTTCTCTGAATGAAAATATTTACTCATTTTGTTCTGAATACAAAAGGCAACGGCAACAGACAAAAAAGTACAAGATTCAATTAAATTTAGTTTTGTTTTATGCCAAAGATATTTGATTTGTTATTTGTAACAAAAGATGGATATTATTTTTATGAATATTTAGCTATGGAATGAAAATAAATATTCATTCAAATTCAAAATATCCTAAAGTTTATTTTGATTTCATCTTCTGTTATTTAAAATACAAATTCAAAACTAAGTAGGACATTAAAACAGGTTAAGGTTTTCACTTGAGATTGGTCAACTTGCACAGGATAGCACAAATTGGTTTCAAGGTTGACCGTTTTTATAGTTAAAAGTCATTAAAAGTCTGGAGTTGATGCCGGCGCTCCACCGCCTTCATGAGATGGGCCACTATTAGATGGTTGGAAATAGTATTCATTCTAGAAATAGATCAGAAAATAAAAATCGTTTTAGAAAACAAATAAACACAAAATCGAATGTCAACAAAGCCAAATTTACAATGAAAAGACATGCTCCAAGCAATGTAGCTTTAACGCGAACATCCAAATCCACCGAGAAATCGAAAGTGACATCATTGAAATTGTCTTTAGAGGAAATTCCTACGTCTTGGAAAAAACTGCTATGATGCTTCTTTATTCGACCAACTTCTTTACCGTCCAACGATAAGACCTATAAAATTACCATGCATTTTTTTCGTTAAGAAACAAACAAAAAACTGGTTCAAACAATTGTCTTATGCGTTAGGGATAAATATTCATATTTTGAATTGAAAGCTTTTGTGATACCAGCCCACACTAATACAAACAACGTTAGTAACACCAACATATTCATATGTCTATTGAAAATATCGAGAGGAAAGTATGTTTTTATTCAGACATTTCTCAGCCATAAGCGCTGAATAACATACTCTCTTCTCGATATATTCAATAGATGTAGGAGCGGCTTTCCGCGCGCTCTTTGTGAGTGACAGATTTGTGCTCTGTGTGACAGATTGCTGAATGAGTGATTTAAAAATATCGTTAGTTTACCTTCAATTTAAGATGTCCTCCAGCTAATGTAACCGATGTACCATTAATATAAAAAATCACTTGATTTTTGGAGTTCATTATTTTTAATTTTCGGTTTATAATTGAGGATTCTTTTTTAACTTTTCCAATAACGTTACCACCTGGTAGTGACACTTCTAGATATGAACTGGAAGATTTACTTTGCTTCATTAAATGTAACACTTCGACTCTGCGGTGATCGAATATGCTCATGTTAAAAGCCAAACTGTAAAATAAATGAAATCATCAGAAAATCAAAAAAAACTTTTAATTCTGAAAGTTCAAAAGAAATAAATAAAAAAAGTTGTTAACCTCGCACTACCGAAACAATCACAAGAAGGTTCATATTCTTCAGCGGCGAAATACATCTGTAATAAATACAAGATGCAAGAGTATCATATTATTTACATTAAGAATAACATTTATTTTCTCACCTCTTGACCTGCCGCGTTTTTTATGATGCGAGTATATCCAGCCCGTTTATTTTTCTTTTCTCTGAGTCTAGAAATAAAAAAAAAGAACACGTAAAATTTAAGAAATTTGATCGGTTTAGAATAAAAACTCGACTTGTATTGCATTTGTATAGACTCGAAGTTTTTATTTTAGCCCATTCATTTGACAAGCAGCTAGTCGAATACCAAATAAATAAATCTTACAAGATTCCATTTGTTTGACTCAAAGGCTCCAAGCCTGGCGGACAATCAGCAACTCTAGGTGCATCTGTGTATTTTTTGTTAAATTATTAGAAACGTACACTTATGAAATACTTTCATAATAATAATACTCACTACTTGAAGAACTGGGTTGGTTTGAAATCTAAAATAATATTTGAGAATTTTGAAGTTTTTAGTTGACTTTAGAGGAATAAGTATTGTGATTTGTAAGTTTGATTCAAAATCTACCAGATTTTTTTTATAAAATCAACCAGAAAATGATGAAAATTGTGCATCATTTTCTCAAGAACTCAAATTGACTGACTCTCATGCAGATTTTTTTTTTAATTTCATGAATTACTCTCTATCAGTGTTTCATATCGCTATCAGTATCCGCAAGATATCTGAGAGGGAAATATTCAACCACACATGACACTGTCTAAATTAGACACTGGAGATGGTAAGCGTGTCTAATGCAATTTTGACACTCATATCTGACTGAATATATCCTTCTCAGTTATCTTACGGATACTGATAGCCATACCTCATTATTTCCTGATGGTTGATTAGTGGCTGCTCCTCCTCCTCCATCTACATTAGCAATTAAAAGCTATGAAATAAAGAAAATCCAAAATGTCCACTATTAAAAACATTGATTTTTAATTAATGAGTTTAAATACAAAACAATCTTTCCTGTGGTGGAAATCTCGAAATGTACAACAATTTTTGGTTATTATCAACTTTTTAAATTAATTTACCTGAGAAAAAATGACTCTGATGAAAAATTGAACGAAAACATTTCGATTCAACATTTTTTTACTGTCGAGCTACAACGTTTTCAGAATTGTTCAAATTAGTGATCTGGTAAAATAACCATTTGCTAATCGTTTCTATCAAATAGCTTCGGTTTATATACGTTTTGTAGAATGAAAATATTGTGTCACGCTGAAAATTATGTAGAAAACCCTACAAAAAAGTGTTGATTCAGCTACATTCCGTAAGAGTCACATTATTATAAAAATAATTCCAAAGCATTTTCTCATATGATAAAAATTCCATAAAAATTGATGAGATCAAAGAGAGATTGTGGCTGTGACAAATAATTCATTTTTAAACTGTACCAAAATCTTGTGTCGGATCAAATACAGAAATCTTCTGCAATATTTAATTTCATTCAGTTATAAAAGCTACTCACGAAAAAATATAAAATCGAATTATTCAAATTAGTAAATTGATCGTTTTCTCAAAATTACAACTGAAACGAACAAACTGCAGTAAAAAGCAATATTTTACAATTGAAAAATAGGTTAATTAAGGAGCAGGGAAAAAAGCGATAACATTTCTCCACATTCTTTCTTTCGACGTTTTAATTTTTTTTGTGAACAAAAGATATATCAACCAAGAGCTTGATGTTTTTTTCTCGTTTTGATGAATAATTGAGTCTAAACACATTCAGGCATGTTGCGTTTTTATATCTCAATATTTCCATTAATAAAGCGATTTTTGAAGTTAATATAGAATTTTTCGAAAGCTTGAAAAGATAATGACAATAATTTTATTTGGTCGAGAACAGATGTAGAAAAAATAAATAAATAGTTTTCCGCAACTTAACTTTAACTTTATCTTTCTAGATATTGAGTAATCTGTACAAAATTACAAATTACGAACTTCAGTCGAAAAAAATTAGCTTGCTATGTATTGTGATGCAATAAAAGAAGTGTTTTTACGTACAAACAATCAATCTGACACTTATGCCAAAGTGGAAGCTCAAAAGGGAATAACCAATTAATAAATTGATTTACTATTCATTAATTTGTACATTCACAGCACATGAGTAAAATTATTATTCTACGCGCGACTCATGTTACTTCTTTCAATTAGAAAATGGTTGTTGTTGTCTGTTATCAAAAAGGAATATGCGCATTTAGATTCAAAATGGTAAGCGAAATGAACAACAATCAGTGGCAAGAGGAAGGATGTAATACGAATGTGAAAATTAGAAGGAAATTGTCGAGTTTTTTTTGTTTCTTCGTTCAGGCGTCGTTCCATTCAAACATATAGTCTGATGATTGGCGAAGTGTTGATACATTTTTATGTTTGCAACACATTCATTTCCTTATCGAAATTGCTCATCACCGTGAACATACACCATTTCTACTATAACATGCACAGCACCTGCTGTAGTAACAGCCAGCACTTTTCTGACTGGAATTCACATTCACCATTTTTTAATTATGTTTTGTTTTTTCATGTGAATCAAAAAGCAAGAACCATGAGGAAATGGAATGATTTTTCCACATTTTCTATTGGTATCAATTGCATATGTGGTGGATCGAGTCGATTTGATTTTTAAGTGGATTTCATACAGCTCGTTTACTTTAGTTTTGGCAAAATACACATTAAATCCGTGCATAAATGAACGTAATAACATACATTCACTTGAGGATTTAGATCGGCGAGCGTATTTTTTCGAAACATTTTCTACAAAATAATGACTTTTCAGCTTGATTTAAGGCAATTTGTTAGACATGCAGCGCGTAGATTTGCAATTAGTAAATTGATTTGAGTTTTTTAAAAGCTTTTGATGATTATCACCATTAATAGCATTTACGATTTGAATTGAAACGATTTTATGTGCAAAACACACGAAAGTCGATTGTATGGTAACTTTCATCACATTTTAAGTAGAACCGAAGAGCAAACCGCCTATATTGATGAGATTGTAAACAATCTGCTCGGAATACTTATAATCGATTGGATTTTCAAAACTAGAGTAACAAAATCCGCTTTCTAACAACCGCCCCCAAAATACTGACCTTCTCTTTCTCATTACACTTAACTGTTCGCCAAGAGAAAAACCTAAAGAAAAGCTCGTCGTTTCAACTAAAAAGATTACGGCCAAATGAACAACTTGATTCGCATTATAAATGCATTTGTTTAGCTCCAATTATCTGAACGCAATTATTTTAAGAATCGGATACATTGTTTTCATGACAAATAACAAGAATGACTTCGTATTACTTTTACATGCAATCAACTGATGGAGAAAACGGACCATCATACAACATAATTGAAGTGAACGAATGAAGAAGAAGAAGAAAATGAAAAAAGATAATGGACATTTGGATCGTGCTTTGTTCAAAGAAATTAAATGTAGTCGGTTGCACAGTGTGACTGTTTCATTTTTCAAAAGAAATTAAGATATTATTAGTTGTTCGTCTGCGTTATGCCATCGCAAGAATGTTTTTTCCTTTGCCCCAACACACAATGGCATAAAACTAATAGAGAAGTATCCGACGGATGCGCTCAAGTTAGAAACAATGAAGATTTTATCAACTTTGGTCAACCGCGCTGGACACTATTATTGCCAATGTAATGCACCACGAAAATCTAAACCATTTAACAGGTTCACATTCTTCCCTGTTCATTTCACAACGACAAACAACAAACGAAATTGATACGATGTACAAAGAACCGGGGAGAATGCGAGAGAATGAAGTGAGCGAGAGGGAAATCAGAAATGAGTCTTCCATTCTATTGCATTTTGTTGTCGGAGCGCTGGATGACGATGCTTCTGTTGATTGTGATGTGGATGGTTGTTCGTTCGCTCGTGCGGTTGGTTTGTTTAAATGCGCGTGCAAATGATAGGGATAACAGAAAATATTGAATAGAGAGTGTGGGCATGTTGAGGACAGAGCATGAATGAAGCGAATAAAAAAAAAAAGAATTTACGAAAAGTATTGTGTGACGACGAAATGGGCTTATGAGTTGATTGTTGTCGAGTGCTTATGTTCAATCAACCGAAAAAGTATGAGATAAAAATTTTGCGCGCACCAGCAAAGACAATGTGTATACATTTTGTGTATTTTACACGATTTCAACAGTCGCACCGACCAGCAACAAACTATATTGAGAGCAGCGGGGGTAACGATGTGGATATGAACTACATACGACATTCACATTAAAATAAACAGTAATAATAAATATGTTATGCTTATGATATGCGATAATGTGCATTATTATGAGCATTTTCGACTTGAAAACAGGGTCATCTTTTTATGACCGAACATCAACATAAACACATGCATACACACGCATACTTACTCATATCAATATTAATGAAAACATTTATGTCACATGGAAATAGATTTTTTCCCTCGTCGAACAGCTTTAATCATAAGAAGAGTGGATTTTTTTTTATTCGTCGGCCATATTTTGCGAAGGAAATTTTATCAATAAATTTAATGATATTTTCAATGAACGCACATGAACCACAATGATAGTTTTGGTGGAAAAATTGATTATTTCCACATTTACACAGGGAAAATTGTATTGCATCACGAAATCCATAAAGTTGTTCAACAACAGAAATTTTGGACGTGGGGTCCTCTTGAGAGTGGATTTGAAGTTATCTTTCTATAAATTAAGAAGAATCTTTGGGATTTTAAAAGTACAGAAATTTGAATTATAAATTGAAGCGGTGGGAGTTCAAACTAAACAAATTACACTAACGAAATCTACATACACGCTCAGTATACGCGCACATCCATGGTACCTATAGTAGCTCTGCTCAAAATCAAAAATTGAATAATTTCTGACACCAAATTGCATCCTCGACATTTTTTTGAAATTACAAGCTGTTTCTCTCTTTGGATCGTCAACCTTAGAACATACCGTATCGAATAAAATAATTTAGAAGGTCATTTCCAACATGAATCAATCGAAATTTAATTTTTCTATTCTTTCTTAAATAAATTCATGTTTTCTCAAGTCACCAAATGCCATATTCGATGTTCAACCATAATCCATAAGTAATTTTTCATAAATTCTATTGAAATTTATCAGGTGCTTAAGATTGTTCGAACGTTTTAGCGCTTAATGTTCCAAATCATCATCAAGAGATTGTAATCAAGCATGAATTACGTACTGTAACTTGTGTTTGAAGAATTTTATAACTTTTGGTGATGGTAACAGCCGTTTGTGATTTTCGTTTTGGAATAGCGGAAAAAAAATTAAAATTCAATTAGCCAAAATGTTGTTGCACATACACAGAAGCACTGCGCTCTTTTAACATGCTGCCATGCACAAAGTTTTCGACAATAAATTGCGTGCCATGCCCACAGAAAAAGATTATATCCTCAGTTAATTACATTTTAAGTGGAACTAGAATTATCCTATTGATTACGTAACAATAATTTTGCTGTTTTGCACTCATTAATTAATAAACGCTAATTGGATTTTGCTTTCTTGCACGCGACATTGTCTGAAAATAGTACAAATACACACACACACACACGCGCTGCTAAACAGAGTAGCTGAGGAAATAGTCTCGCCGATGATGGCAGAATGCTCACCAATTTAAATGTGAATAGAAAACTTCAACACATTATCATTTGATAGGGGCTTTGTTATCGACACCACCGTCGCCTCCTTCGAACGTGTGCTTGGTTGCATGTGCCTTTGTTTCTTCGTAAATCATTTGATTATCGCTTACTTGCGATTGGCCAGTATTTACGCATTTCCAACTATATAAGCCAGGTAAACCTTGCTTTGCTAACATTTTCAAACCATACATTACACCACAATCGAACATAATTCACACACACTCACACTAATATCACAGTCCAACCGGATTATTTATTATTGATCGACTCCGTGCTGCATATCGCTTCGACTGTATTCAACGAAATATGATTTATTTTTCCGTGCAAAGTTCAATTTTCGGTGTTTCGACCAAAAGACCGCAGCTGATGAAATTCGGCGGTTCAAATTGAATTTACCGTATTGTTTTCTCGAAAGTGATAATTTTGATGCATAATCAATTACATTGGCTCACCTGGTCAATCGAATGGTTTGCAAAACCGAGCTTATACCGATCATTAGTAAGTTAATTTAAAATAAAACTTTGAACAAAAAGCCATTGCAAAATTTCAATCGTTCATTTGATGCAGTCAATTTGGAATTTGCAAAGCTGGTTTATAAAGCAATTGCAATCCCAAATGTTGCTTTGTAAATCAATAGACTTTACAATCTGTCTGCATTATAAACGTCAATATATTTCTGTTATTTTTCTGGGAAAGCATTTGAGGAATTATGACATTTGTCAATTTGATTGAAATGCTTTGTCGGATGAATTGTGGCCATTCAAATATACTAGAAAAATATCCACCTAATTTGAATATTTGCACAAAATCATTCGCAATCAAAATTCCACCAATCATTACACACTGTGACAAGTCAAAGATGAATGAACGCTATCAAATCGTTTGCCAATGATGAAGAGACAACAAAACGCTGAAATTTGTAAAATATTTCAATGCTTACATTTCGTAAAATGACCATTATTCTGCTCGATTCAAACATGTATTTTTCGTACAGTGATTCGAAGTATTTGCTGAATAGCCGATTTTGACTGAAACAATATGATCGAAAACGGTTTATGTTTGGCAAATTATTACCTCTTACAACAACCGAAACACCGACTTATAAATAAACATGATGAGAGACACTGAGAGAAAGGGAGAGAGAGAACTAGATAGAGAACGATAGATAAATAGAGAGAGAGAGACTCGTACTGATTTAGCTACATTGTACATGTTGTGCGGTAAATGTGCGTTGATTGCTGTTGATGAGATTGTGGATAAACCTGTAGCCAAACTCAATATTTGTCATTCGGGTTTCGGCGTTGGTTCATAAATACGATGGATGTTTTCGTTGAATCATTCAAAACGAAATTACTTTATCATTTATTCGAACATGCTCGTCACACCGGCACACACACACACCCATCATTGGTAGCATTTTCGCCCGTTTTCAGTTGGATGGTGTAACCAATTTTGTCTCCATTTAAATTGAATCTAATTCAAAATTGGAAATTATTTGCATCGTTTGTCTGCGTGCGTGCGTGTGTGTGTGTGCAAATTGTGAACATCATATGAACGATGGCTTGTGCTTTTACACTTCACATCGGTTGCAGTTTTGTCTATTGAAAATTGAAATGATTTGTGTGCAATGTGTCTCTCTGTCGAATGGTGTTCACATTGTGCGATACAGAGCGCTTGATATTTCGACCAATAATTTGCTGCTATATAGTTCATTTGTTTTACGTGTACAGTGTACACACCGAGTGAGAGACCGTTTCGAATAAAGTATTTGCATGCATGTCGGTGTTTATGTGCATCAATGTAAATTGCCCAGGTAAAATGTTTTCGATCGCATTCGGCACGTTTAGCAAGCCAATGATCAGACAATGATTTAAAATCATACCAATAATAACAACAATAATCGTTAATAATTATGGTAATAGTTCCGTAAATAGCTCGAAATCTAGCGAAATTCTCTATCGTAAATTTATTGTTGTGTACAAATGCAAAATCACAGTGTACAATTCATGGCGACCATTTTCGTAATTTTCAGTGGCATTATCGTTGGATAATTTAAACAACAAAAAAAAAAAAAAATTACCACTCGCTGTATATCCAAAGTGCAAACTAGTTCCGTTGGCAATGTATTTACTCACTTGTATAATCTTGAATTTCACATTTCCACCAGTCCCCACCAAAAGTAACATAGAATCTTTTGCCATTTGTTTACAATGAGCTTTATTTATTTTCAAGAAAATACATTTGATAGATTATATTTTGTCGCAATTGTATCTCTTTCGAGCACTGCTTTGCAATTCTTTCGAACCAAAATGCAATGGTTGATAATTGTGGCTGGGTTTTCAATTTGAAAGTCCATCGATTCACCTGTGCCAAAATTATTTGTGTGCAACGGACACACGGACATTGAATACGTATCAATATTGATTTTAGTTTTTGTTGTTCAGCTTCCGTAACGAAGAAAATGGATTTTACATTTTCGGCTTTTTAGTCAATTCAAACAATTAATTTGGAATAGAAAAGCAATTAATAACATTTTATAATTCAGTTTGCTTGCGTCGAAAATAACAATTTGCCGCACCGAATGGCATACAATGTCTGCTAGTTCCGAAAATACAACCAATAATCGTCATAATCGAACAGAATACAACGCCGCATTACATTTGCATCTAATTTATTATTTATGGCCATTGTTTCGAAATAAATTGGCTGCATTTTGTGTAAGCTTCTCGACAATTTTAAAACGAATTGGTAAACACTCGCTTTAATCTCAGCACTCTCTGTGTAAAACCATTCTATAAAATGCCACCAATTCGATTGAGTAAAATAATTTTCGAGTTCCTTTTGTTATCGTTAAAGTGGCAGAAAGTTATGAACTATAAAATTAAAGCAAACAAGTGACTGATTGCTGCTTGATTTCTGATTATTATTAGAAGTTCAATTGTTTTGCTATTAAAATTCCATAAATAAACGTACACTATGATCATCACATCGTCACGTGCATACGGTACGCTTTAATGCTGATAATCACTGTATTTATATTCCGGTCATGTTTCCAACTAAACTAATTTGATGAGTGATTGGTACGGTGCAAGGAGCTTAGGTTCCCTTTACATAATCAATATGTTTTTAGTTTTTTAAGCTTTGTAAACTTTTTGGTTTTCCTTAATTTAGATAATAAACGATAAATTGATACATTGCAAAAATATATAGTCCAATAAGCGAAAAACACAGAGTGATAATACTGTAATTCAAGTAGTTATCGTTTCGAACAAAATATCATCGTTTAAGTATTAATATCTTCGATTTAAAACAGATGATTGAGCCTAGGAAGCTGAAATGCTGGCGCTGAAATGGTGTGAAAATAATAGAAGCGCTTGTTATGGTTATAAAAACACTCACATTGGAACAAACACTATCACTTCTATAGTTTTCCCTCCATTTCGGCGCCTGACGTTGGATCCTGAGTTGAATCAGCTGCCTGAAAATATATCAATAAAATGTCTGTTTTAAAAAGAATGATGGAATCAAGTCAGGCTTATTCAGTAGAAAACATTTCATATGAATATTTTTCATTTTCAATCATTTTTAGAATAGTCAGGTATGGGCATGACTGAATGGCAAAAATATTTGTTGCTATATTTCTGATGCCTTTAATTTATTATCAAACCAATTGTAATTGAATTACAAACAACCTTCTAATTTCTGTTGTGCTCTTACTTCCATTTTCTATCGCATCAATAAAGTGTTCGATTTGAAGTTTATTTTAGCTTAATACTCACTGCAATTACAATCTTGCATTGCTTGAACTACTTTTTTTTTATTCTAGTATTGTGTAAGTTGCACTGAATTTATTGAGTAATATTGATAGACCTTCAAATAACTACAAAATTGCGACGAATAGTGTTGTTCATTAAATTATCATTTGGAGTGCAGTTCATATCGTTCCCTGATAAATCAATTCAGAACTGGTATTTTCACTCTGGTAGTGCACACACACAGTAGACTTTGCACTCACAAACTGTGTGCGGTGCACACAATGACTGTATTTTCAATGTGCACACACATTTACATAAAAGTTTGACAATTGTCGAAAAATTCAAAACTAATATTTCAAATGTCAAACTTCTATGTAAATGTGCACTGCATATTGAAAATACAGTCATTGTGTGCGCCGCAAACAATTTTGGAGTGCAAAGCCTACTGCGTACGCGCACTACCAGAGTGAAAATATCAGCTCTGAATCTATTATATCAAATGAGTTTCATGGAAATAAAGTATAAATCCTTCAAATGTTTTTGCTTGAAGTATCAGTTATATTCACATCACGGTACTTTGCAGTTCGGGGTCTGTTTTAAACAAAATCAGTTGTGAATCCGTTTTTGTTGAAATCAAGGTTGAAGTACATATCTTAGGATATTAACGTAAGTTAATTTCAATTTGGAATCGAAATTTTCGATTATTGTATTTCATTTCATTCGAAATATGTTTATTTTTTGGTTCTTATGCCAAGTGCAGTGCTAGATGCCAAGTTTTTGAATTATATTCTTTTCAAATCAAATCTATCCACCTCATCTGATATTTTAGCTTTTTTGCATTTCAAAATTGTACTTACAACATGTTTGAATTTGACTCTATTACCAATATTTATAGCGCAAACGTGGAAAGAGCAATCATTAAAGCAAGTTACATCGGTTAGAAATCGAATTTCAGACTTTTGTTCAAAATGGTAAAAGCTTTGCTGTGTATGTATTTCCTTTGTGTGGAAAAGATATTAGCTACAAACGTGTTTGCCAAGTCCACCGCGGATATATTGCCATTTAGTAAAGAGCTCCAAAATAGATTGCATTCGACTGAAAATGGAACAACCATATCATACGAATGCGATCCGGAGAAAAAGATGATGACAATCGAAGGAACCTTTGTACGAAGTTCCCATATTCGACTTTCTGAATGCCAATCAATTGATCTCGTACTTATTCGTGTGTTTGCTGTTGACACATTCTTCGTTGATAGCGACTTATATTTAAATAAAACAAATGAAGTAACGCTTCATATTTTTGCTTATAAATGGGACGTTTTGCAAGAAGCAACATTTTATTTGAATGGAGTCGATGGAAAATCTCATCCACCATTGGAATCAGAGGGTGCTGCGGGGAAACACGGGAATCCAGGAACAAATGCGGGAAATTTTGTTGGTATTGCAAATGAAGGGACTAATTTAGATGCATTGACTGTTAAATTGAATGGCGGGCGAGGTGGTGATGGACAAGACGGTACTGGTAGCGATGATGTCTACGTTATTTTTGATGAAAAATTCGATAGCAAAGGAAACACTTTATCTTTTCAAACTCGAGATAATTATGTCAATTCACATTATAAAAGATACTTTAAAGAAAGAGGATATGATGCTAAGCTTAAAGAAACCAAGGGAAAACATACTCAACCTGGTATTCCAATGATTTATACTACTTGGAAGGTATTCACATTATTTTCACAGAGGTGCTGTGGAGGGACTGGTGCGGGAGGTGATGGTAAGTCGCCATGTGTTCAATCAATATGAATAAGAACAATATACCAAAAAAACTCACACTCTATTTGTAGGAGGCCGCGGTGGAGCTCATGGAGTATTTACATTTTTACATTCGAATGGAAGTGCGGAGATTCCAAAGAATAGTGCAGTTGATGGATTAAATGGGAAGCAAGGACAAACTGGTCGAAATTGTTGTACTTTTGACCTTGAAGTTGATATTGAGACTAAACTGACTATTTATATTGGTTACATATTGAATAGTACGTTTCATAATAGACCCGTCAAAAATACAAAATGTTTTAATGAGATTGTCTACCCTGATTAAAAACAGAAATAAAATCGAGACATTTTTTAAATACCAAGGAAAAACAATTTGTGATAATATCTGACTATTTCTTTTTTTAATGACAATAATTAATCAAAATATGTTTATTTTTTGTGTTTCTGCAAAAAGTCATTCATGTAATTGGCGACTTTTTCGGTGTCTTCCACTGTGATGGCATTGTAAAGAGATACACGAATTCCGCCGATTGTCTCAAATCCATTGAGATAATACATTTTCAATGCTTCAGCTTCTTTCAAAAATTCAGCTTCTAAAGCTTCATTGCCGTCTTTTCCGCCGATTTTGAACACCACATTCATCCGACTTCTATATGGCTTTTCAACAGCACAGCTATAGAATCCATCCGATTTTTCGATGATATCATACAGTAAATGCGATTTTCTAAGTGAATTCTTATGCCGCCCGATCTTTTGACCCAGTCTTATACTTTGCCAACAACAAAAAAAAACTTGCGGTGAAAAAGAAATCTATATGAAAAAATAGTTGAATATGAAGCTAATGTTTATTACTGCTGTCATTGATTTTCGACCTGATATTGATAATTACGAAAAAAAAATACAATGTTTTGCCTCTCATTTGATTGGATTTTGTTCCAATAGTTAAAACCGGTTTTATTTGAAATGTTCTAAATTAAACTATGACCAATTATTAAATGCCTAAGAGAGTTACAAGATATTCTGTTCTGAATCGACTCGATATTCACTAATGAATTCGGTTGACTGTTCAGTATCAGTTGATGTCTCAATATTATTTTTTCTCACTATTAAATCAGCAATTTCCGTGTAACCTATAAAGAATATATGAAAATAAATCTCAGAATATAAATTCTATATCAAACGTTACCTTTTCTTCTTGCGATATCCAATGCCTTTTTTCCATCATCATCTTGAATATCGACATCAATTCCATTTTCCAATAGCACTTTGGCGCATGTATAAAAATCTAAATAAAAGAAATTGCTTAAAAATGGACATACATCAATCGACGGTATGAGCAAAATTACTAGCACTAGCACAATTGTGAAGAAAAGTCCCTCCTCCTTTGTGAATTGGATGAATGACCAAACGATTTATACCACCTTCAATTGCTTCTTTGAAATATCCCTTGAAAGCTGTAAAAAGTATACAGATTTTGATTTTTTAGAAGTTTTTTTTAAGTATTTTTTCAAACTTAGTACCTTCTCTCATGATTTCTTCCCATTCTGTGTTATTTAAATAGCATCCTCTAAAGAAAGAAATGAAATTTTATTTGAAAAATATATAAGGAAACAATGTCATTGCAACTGACTTGGCTACGACGTAATCTACAAATGGAGAAAAAAAAAATAAGAAATCGATTCAAATATGTTTATATTAAATTTATTTAACGTACCTGTACTATTCGATGATTCAACTTTTTCGAGTATTTCAGCGACGCTTTTATAGTCAATTTTAAAAACTCTATCATAATCATCTTTTTGAAGTGATGCAAACATTTTGGCATAATCTAATGCCTTATACTTGCGATCGTCTATAAATTGATAGTCCGCGCCATTCTTTAGTAAATATTCAACACATTTGGGATTGCCTAATAGTTTGAATGACATGTAATGATGTTCACTTTTTTTTGTCAACCTAAAATCACATACCAATTGCAGTGCAACCATGTAAAACTTTGCCGCCGCCACCATGGGGATATTTTGCATTGATACAACCCATTTCCGTTACCATTTCGGCCATTTTCAATTGACCTAGTTATAGATAAACGAGAGAAACGTTGGTTTGCATTTTATTGACGAATATTTGAAATTTACCTTTCAAAAGTTGTATCATTGAGCTTAACGCATCCAAATGGCTATATCTGAAGTTTTTACAACGTAAAAATACACGTCTTTTACATCAAACATATTTTCACCGAATGTAATGACTTACGTGGCACAACCTCCTGCACTCGCATTTACAATTATAACAAATATAACCAGGAAATTCATTTCTCACAAATTTATTTGTTCACAGTGTTCCAAACCGAATGAAATTTAAAGTATAACTGAAAATGATTGAATGAACAGTTGCTTTTTAAATTCGATATTCGAGGCATAACAATCTCATGGAAGTTTGACATTGAAATTTAACGCAATTTCCTTTGTCAAAAGTCAAGTTATATTTGAAATGAAATATATTTTGAATATTGATTAGATACTAGTCCTCTTAAAATGATTGAACAGCGACAGAATTTAAACGAATTACGTATGTCGAAAAGATAGCAGTCGATCGAGCATCAACACCGAATTTTAATTTGTGAAAAACCGTTGATAATTTTAATCAAAACGCGACGCGCCGTTCGAATGTATAATGTACTCATTCACATTTAACAGCAATATTTCAGCGCCAGCGAAATTAACAAATATCAATCACTGTATAAACACTAAACTCACTCATTTACATTAGCGAGTTATGATTCAAATAATGATTTTTCAACACATATAATCAAAAAAAAAGTATGAAATCGCCATTGAGCATTTGATTTTTCCGTTTTTATACAAAATCTTTCCCATATTTACTATATATATATACTCTTTTTTGAGGCGCAAAAAATATAACAATAATTTTTTTTATCTTTTTGCAATATGTGATAACCATTAGTCAGACACAAAAGAAAATTCAAAATTATTAACTGAAAAAAACAATCAATTCAAAGTATTTTGACCTCACTTTGTGAACAAGATTGGACTAATGGCCAGAAGTAAAAAGTAAAAAAGTACTATAAGAGAGAAGATTTAAAAAGCGAGATATTAGAATGTGTCTTAAAAAATTACATTCAATGAACGATAATCGTTTTTTTTCTTAATCTAAAAGACTGTACATACGCAAATTTCGTCATATTTTAATTCCAAAAAGTAACTCAAAGTACGTATGCAATATCGGTTATCAAAATTCATTCTTTTTTGTCATTTTTCAAGTAAATAACCCAGTATTGATTAATTTTATACACAATAATTGTTGCATTTTTTCTAATAAATGAATAAAATGTATTTAACCACAAAATAACAATGAAACAGATTTTATTATGCGGTGATAGATTTGGTGCTGGTTTGATTAATATTTGAAATTGATAAAAGGTCGATGATTTTTGTATGACCCAAGTCTCGTGCATGGTCACTGTTTTTCCTAAATTATTTTTGATTGTGGTATCGGCCCCGTACTGAATAAGTGCTTTCACTCCCAATGTAAAATCTACCAAAGAAATGATCATTTAATGACTGAAACTGGTTAGATAGATATCTCCAAATATACATTGAATATCTAGTTACATTCTGTGTAAAATATTTATCAGATAACATACTTCTTCCAGTGAATTCATGAAGTAGTGTATGTCCAGTTTCATCCTGTCAAGATAACAAGATGTAAATTTCCAACGAGAATACACATTCATTTCATTGACACTGTTTCACACTTATTTGACTGTTTCTAATGAAATTTTACCAGGTTAAACGAACTAAATAAACTTAAAATGTTTGAAATATTTTACATCGTATTTTTGCCGTCAATACTTTATGAAAAAGTCATGTAGTAATTTAATTAACAAGTAAAAAAGCCCATCGAAATGAAGAAAATAAAATGGATGGTCAAACTATCGCCGGCAACAATTCCGATTAGTGTCTATTGAACTACAATAGGGTCTTGATTGCGAATCGTACAGTTTTTTCTGTGTTTCTTTCACAGCAGTTGGCATCTGATTGACACATACATATACATATGTTTTGTGTCTGTACCATGTCGAATGTGCGATTAATTTATCATTCTCGGGTACAATAAATGCGACACTTAAACACATATCTGGTTATAAAATGCGAACGAATGAATAATAAATGTAGTGAGTTGTGTAATCGCATTCATAAATCGTGAATGCACGTACTCAGCGCGTAAATTCACATGAAATCTGCGCCTCGTTGACAGTGTGCAAAAAATGCAAAGTCATCATCTATCTATCAAAACTAAAATTATTTGTCAATTTTTCCCGACTCACTAATAAAAGTGGTGAGCTTTAGTTCAGTTCGACTTTCGAACGTAAATAAAAACAATGTTATTGTCGGATATGAAATGCATCTCATTCGATGGAAAGCTATCGCATCGATTGCATGAACTGTGTTTCATGCACTGTTGCGACAACAACAATAAAAGCAGATTCATAGAGACGAAAAAGAGTGATGATCGAATAAAAACGAAACAAAAGAGTGTTTCAGATGAATAAATTACTGAACAGGGAGATAGAGAGAAAAAAAAGCGATCGCCGACGCTGGGCATCGTGTGAATGTGTTGAAAATTGATTGGTGTTGACTCGTTTTATCCGCTTTCAACCAAATAAATACACTCATCCATCGTAGCCGACCGCATGCTTTGGTTCACAACAGAGTACACACACACATATTCGCATCTATTTGCAGATTGTGCCTCGTGCCTGAATTAATGTTTTTCCATGTCTGACGCTTTATGCGATTTTTGAATGCACAACAGCGGCCAAAATGTGGATGAGAAACGTGCCTATTTCATTTGATTTGCATTGCCATCGGATGTTGATTTATAAATACAACAAAAATAACTGTTCATCGTTTGCCATTCATGGACGCGCTTGCATGCATCTTGAATGGTCAATGCATGTTACTATTACTGTTACCGTTGTACTCGTGACGTGCAGTTCTTTTTTTCTCTCTCTCCATTGCTTCCACCTCTCCCCTCGATCTCAGTGTGCGTTTTCTCTATTCAATCTATTTTGCATCTGTGTCGCTATTGTGACTGTTGTTGTTGAATGAATGCCTGAGAAAAATCATGACTCAAATATTTTTAATTTGAAGAATGAAATATAGGGAAAAAATAAATATGAATGAAATTTGGAAAAATATATATCAATAATTGAAACGTGGATATTTATTTTGTTTCACTCTTGCGTGTTCAAATTTTATGATTCAAATTTGCCTACATTCGGGATATTTTTTTTATGTTTCAATGGAATTTTTTTCTTATGAATCGATCTTGTGAGTTATTTTATAAAGTTTCACTCTTAGTAATGCACATTTTTCTATGTTTCATTTTTGAAAATTAGAAATAATTTGAGTCATTATTTTTCTCAACCATTCAAATGTGAATAATAAACGGAATGAATCGTGCTTGGTGATTGGCGGTTTTATCGGAGTTTAGCCAGAATCAAACGAAAATGTTGAAACGACAAATGATAAACGCGACGCATATGATAACCCATAAATCACACACGAATCTGACCGACCAAACGCAACACACAACACAATCATCATAAATATTAATCTTTGGCTTTTTTCCCTCTCATTCATAAGCGTTTTTAGCATTTCGTTCACCTCATTCGACCAACAATATTTTAACCAGAGAGAGTGTGCTCGTTCAAACCAAATTCTAAAATCCGAAACCAAAAGAATCTGTCACACAAAAGAGATTTACACGGACAGAGAGGGAGGGAGAGACAGGAACAATTCATCGAAAAGAAGGTCAAACAATTGATCCAAACAAAATTTGGTCACGAATTCAAATCAGTTCAGAAGTTTTTTCTTTCGTTCAAAATAAATCGAATTTAAACCATGAAAATCTGTTTATAAATTGTGCTGACACAAATTCATTCAGCAGGAGCGACGCAAAAAGTGTTCATCGTATGTAAAATAAATCATATAAATTGAACGGAATGCTATAAAAATATAGGCAAAATAGAAGATATTTTAAAGTTGACCATTTGTTTACGTTTGCTGCATGCTGACTTCTGACATTGACTGCATTTGAATGTGATTTTTTTCTCGAGCATTTGTGTGCTCGATTGAACACACGAACAAGTTGAGTAGGAAAAAAAAACCAAAGAACAACAACCGAAAAAACGAAAATGAAGAGTTCTTCTTAAACCGCAAATCAAAATCAGCACAACATTGAGAATATGCACAGCATAAATTCGTTGTGTAATATTTCGTTCCGTATTGTTCATATAGGAACCCAATTGGTTTTCGTGGTCAGCAAATATTTATACTTGTACATGTTGCAATACAAACCTATAAATTCCATTTTAATTCCGATTCGTTTCAATCGGTGCAGGAAAATACCATTCTATTTCTCTCTCAATATGTCTCTCCATTTCCCTTTTGAAGTCAATCTCTCTATTTTCAATGAATTTCAACGAAAACCACAAAAGTAATGCTTTTTGCTTGTCCTCTTAGGAAATGACACACAGAAAAAGAAAGAGATAGAGAAGTTTTCCTCAATTAGACGAATTCACATCGCATTCATATTTTGTACACATTTTTGGTATTTCATTTCGAACGCTTACTACCCATAAATATTTCCACAAAATGGTTAAATCCTTTTTCACTGGCATTTGCCATTTTTCTTGCCTTTTGATTTATACTGTCATCATAGGTAAAATATACGGCAAATTTCAAGGATTCAAAGAGAACAAGAAAAAGAGAGAGAGAGAGAGAGAGAGAGAGAGAGTAAAAGGAAGAAAAATGATTGCAAATGATGTACGTCATCATGTAATGTGTTGAGCTCTCCTGCCGGCTGAATGTGACTTGCTCTCTCTCTCTCTCTCTCTCTCTCTCTCTAAAAACAAGAAAAATGTCGATTTACTCGTGTGTAACGGCTTTAAAAAAAAACACCCATAAATGAATTTTCTCACCATATTTTTTTTGTCTCGTAAAAAATGTGTTTTATTTTCTTTTAATTGTTGTTGCCACGTTATTTTGATTATTTCTTTTACCCTCCACTTCTCGGATTTCATCCTTTAAGAATAATTACTTGAATAAAAAAAATAGAATAACAAAAGCTGATCAAGACTCCGTTCATTTAACAAAAAGGGGAGACCGAACGCCGAACGATATCATTCTCATTGAATGAAGAGAAAAATAAACGACGAAGAAGATGATTTTCAAGCCAAAAGAAGTGAATTCTTTTTTCCCGTGTGTTGCGTGTTAGCTGCTTTCCGAGCGATAACATTTCGAAAATCCCTCCTGCCTGTTTTTTCGAATAA